GAGCGTGGGAGATAATATATCAACTACAGGTTGGGTGTTTACGTTGGTAGGAGGAGCTTTCTTGGGGATCAAAGGAACAGACTTGTATATCACATTCAACTATGGAGGCAGAGCTTATAGCTCTTGCTGCAACAGGAAGAGAAGCAGAGTGGCTTCGGGATCTCATGTTGGATATCCCTTTTACTAAAAATAATATATCAACAGTGTCAATACACTGTGATTGTTAAGAAACTTTAGCTCGTACATATAGTGGAGTATATAACGGGAAGTCTAGACATATTCGTCTTAGACATGAGTTTGTAAGACAATTGATTCAAGATGGAATCATATCAATTTCATTTGTAAGATCAAGTGGCGATCTTGTAGATCCTTTTACTAAACCTCTGACGAGAGATTTAGTAAGAGCAATGTTTGTAGTATTTTTGGGCATGTGGTAACTGAGCTACCCGACTCGGGTCGTTCTCAAAGGAAGGCTGTTCGGAGCTTCGTTCACTACCTAGTCGTCAAAATCACATAACCGAAAATAGGGTCCTAAACATTCTACTCGCTTGAAGGGATTGAATTTGCATGAAATTAAACTAAGAATTTAGAGCAAATGATGAAAGATGCAAATATAGAGAGAAAAATCGAAACTTTGGTCTACCGGAATCTCCATGACTAAAGAAAAAGAAAAATAAACAAGAGAAAACATAAGAGCATAGTGATCCTAGGTCATCTAATACGAGCCTTCAACACTAGATCATCACGCTTTTAGCAAAGTCAAGATCTCTACACAAGATAAACACATATAGATTCCTAACACACGTAAGCAAGTAATAAAAATAAAGAAAAACCAAGAAACGAGCATAAACACACAATTCGAAAGACAAAGTCGAAGTAGTAAGGCCTAAGCAAAGTACCTACTCTCCCATAGCATGCTCGGACGAAAATAGTGAATAAAGCTCGAAACTTGAATGAAAATAAACTTGCCGGAATTTTGCCGGAAAAATAGTCATGAACCTCCCACCCAAAGCATAAAAAAAAAAAGAAAAGAGGAGAGAGAAGAGAGAAAATGGAGAGGATTTCCCAACTTTAAAGTTGGGAAATGAGGGTTGTGTTAAAAATACAAAGCACAATGTCTTTATATAGCTACACCGCAAACACACACTAAAAACACGCACATTTAAATACACACTCTCGAGGTCGCGGGCGGATTCGCGCGGGTGCGCGGGCCGGTGCGTGGGTCCAGACCCGGTCATGGCCCGGGACGGCTCGGGTGGCTCGGTCGGGTCGGGTCGGACGGCTCGGTCGGTTCGATCGGCTCATTTTCCCAAGCTCATCAAAATGAACCTAATCAACAATAAAAAGACAAGAAAAGTACGGCAAAACACAAAAACACATAACAAACACAAAAATATATGAAATACGATAAAATAGACCGGTCGACACTAAAATGAACCTAGAAATACTAAACTAAAGCACATAAAACACACGAAAATAAGCACAACAACACAATAACAAACAACATCTCGAGGGATGGGACTAAAACTCCTTAAATAAATTCACCAATGATGGCAACCCAACTTAACACTAAGAAATGATTAGTTTTAAGTTCAATGGGTAAAAACAAGTCGTTGATAAGTGAATTATAACAACATTAAAATTTGTGAGTTCCATCTGAGATTAAATATATAATGTTGGTCGTTACGGTTGGAGGGTTAAGCATAAAGCTTTTAATGAAATTCAGTCTTAGTGTAACAAGCATTTTATGTAACGAGAATGCAGAAAGAATTTCACCTGTGTCAACTTAGAAGTGGTGCCGCTTCTCATGAGAGTTGGAGTTTTCTCTCAAGAAAAGTTCATGAATAGATTGAGCACATGGCCATAAAAGTCTAAGCGAGAAAAATTGATAGGTGTTTGTCAAATAGTGAAATGTGTGTGTTATCACCGGTTTCGTCACAAGGAATAACTGGTTCAATGCTACAAGCAACCTGGAATTTCGACGAGGCTTTGTGATTATTAAACTAAGGTAAAGTTCAAATCGAAAGATACTTTATTTTATTCATTTTCACTATGGTGGTTATAATGTTGGATTTTATTTTAACCAAGTGGGGGATTGTTATATTTTGGTTAAAATAAAGTTAAATGGTAACATGCATGCGTTACATGTTACACATTACATCCATGGGTGTAAGATGTTGAAACTTATTGATTTAATTAGTTTAGATTAATTGAAATAAGTTTCATCTCAAGTTTAATGGTCTTCCATTAAATAAGATGAGTTGTTAAAATAAGTTCTTATACATGTAACCTAATGACAAATGGCACCTATATATTCTTCTCTTTTTTGTGAAATCTTATGAAGAAGAGTGAGAAGGCTTGATCAATCCCAAAACCCATTTTCCTTTTGTGTTCCCTAAAGATTTCCAAGAGAGGGAGGAAATAGAGTTTTTAGACAAAGGTCCAAAGAACTTGTTTGAGCCTTGTGCTATATATTATTGTTCTTGAGAGAAATATTGAGAAAAGAAAATTTGAGTTTTGTTGAGTGTCTCTTTCTCTATTGTTATCTATTAGTTACAACATATTTGTGGTTCTTGCTTTGGCTTTTGTGTGATCTCAATGTGTGTTGGATGTAAGCTCTAATAGTGTTATTCGTTCGTGAGCGGTTGTTGGTTGCTTAAGGCCTGTGGTTACTTAAGCAGTTATGAGTTTGTTTGGAGAGAGAACTTTATTTTATGGAAAATATTACAAATACATAATAAATGTACAGAGAGGTGCATAACATTCACATGAGTGGGATCCACTTAATTTTTTATTTTTGGTAGGTCCCACTTAATGAGAGTGTTATATACACCTTTATGTATAATATTATGTGTATATAGCATTTCTCTTATTTTATTTACTTATCTTTTGCCGTTAGTGTT